TGTTTTTTTTTTTTTATTACCATATATCTTATATTTACCATTTATTGTGCTGTGTCATGTTTTAAACCATACATTCCTAACTAACCGTAGAATGTTAAAATCTTAGGTGACACACTGTTCATTGTCCAATCATTCTCTTTGTGTGTGTGTGTGTGTGTGTGTGTGTGTGTGTGTGTGTGTGTGTGTTAGTGTGCGTGTGTGTGTGTTAATATCTCAGAACCATGAATTGCAAAAAACAATCTTACTGGACATTGCGAAGAAAAGCCAAGGCTAAGGTGGACAAACAACTCCAGTCAATGGAAGCATTATCACCATCATCATGGAGGGAGGAGTATGGTGGCATGCACAGTGACACAAGCAGCACCGCTGATGACAACAATGACTTTATGGATGGTTTGTCCCATATCGATGAGCCTGAGGGGAGAAGTGGATGGGGCCTCAGCCTAACAAGCCCACAGCCCATATGTGATCACTACTCCTCCATACTCAATTTCAACTTCTAAATGTTTAAAGTGGTGTAAATTCACATTTTTATTTCAACAGCAAACACACGCAAAATAAAAAAGAGCTGAAAAATAAGCCAGGAATACAGAAATAGTCAAGCTGAGGTCTAAATAATACATATGTACTAACAATAAAACATAAACACTCCTAAAAATGAAAGGTTCTTTATATCGATGGTTCCATGAAGAACCTTTAACATCTATGGAAACCATTCCATTGCACAAAAGGTTCTTTATATTATTTTAAAAATTTCACACTTAGAAAAAAGTTTTTTTTTTTTTTTTGGTTCTTCTATTGCATCGCTACAAAACCCACCTTTTAGAACCTTTATTTTTAAGAGTGTAATAATAATTCTTTAAAAGTAAAATTGTATAAAAATTTGATTGTATACCCAAACAACCCCACTGACCCCCAAGTCCTCATGTAATGTGAAAGTTCTCTGATTTTAAATTTTCTGGGTGTGGAAAAAAGAGAAACATCAGTTCATATTTGACACATACCAGAACCTGAAGGTGGACATAATTAAACTAAAAGGCCTTTTACTTACTATACGTATAAGCTATCAGTCAGATGACAGAAGGCATGTAGAAGACTGTGAACAACAGGTTCTTCAGCAAAGTTTTGTCATGTTAATTATTTAGAGACTAATATGTTTATCAAATATGATATGTAGGCTTTACAGGGTTAAACTCTCAGAAAATGACGAGGCTGAATCCAGCTTCTTATTGACGCTATCCGTTCCACCCTAAAAACGCTCTGGCCGCCCTGCCAACAACACTGTAGAAAGATTTGTGGACGCTCTGACGATCGAACGCTTGGTCTTGTATTTAAAGGAGCCGCAAAGGAAACAAGCATGTTGATCTTGTGTAGACAGACCACAAGTAACGTACAAGTTAACCTCATGAAATATTTCAAATGTAAGAAATTGATCGATGGAAAGAACTTAACAATTATAGTTACATGTTTGCTAATGAAATAAACCAATGAAAGCCATTTGTGTGGTGTATTTTTGTGTTCATGCAGTTTATAGGAGACGTGGTCTTTAATTAACATTAACATTAATTTGTGCACAGTCTACATTACAAACGGTCCTGGTTGAAGTGTAGCCTAATTGCAATTGGTCAAATCGATGTTGTTTTTATCAAATGAATTGCATTCGCGCTGATAAACAAGCGTTCTAGCCTGAAAATGCTGGGAACTAATGTGGTCGGAACCAAACAGTTTACAGGACTGCGTTCTATTCCGATTGGTTGAAATCTAATTACATTATTTGTTAAATATTGAACGTGTCATCCTTTGAGTGCAGTAATGAGGATATATATATATGTGACCCTGGACCTCAAAACCAGTCTTAAGAATCACACAGCGTCTCCCTGACATGGCTGCTTCAACACGACTGCTGTTCCTGAAACCACGCCTTCTTTCTTTGCGTGCACATTTGGGCGGCATTATGCTAATATTTCCACATAGTGACGTAGATATGTGGGGGCGTGTTAGAACGAGCCGTTTTAGGTAGGCGTGGATGACTCTTAACGTTTATAAAGAATATCTCTGGATTTGAGGCTTAGTGTTATGTTAGAATCATTATTATACTCATACCTTTTGTTCTTTTAATATTTTGAATTGTTTTTAGCTTTATATATTTTTTTGTTTTAATTTAAATGTTTAGTTTTGAAATGTTGTATGCATTTGTCATTTTTATTTAATTTCTTTTATTTTCTTAAATGTGTATATATATATAGTATTTATAGAGTTTTAGCTTTTAGTTTGAATTACTTTTTCTTATTTGTAAGTCACTTTGGATAAAAGCGTTTGCTAAATGACTAAAAGTAAAGTAAAAGTAAAGTAAAGTAAAGTAATATGCATTGCTAAGAACTTCATTTGGACAACTTTAAATGCGATTTTCTCCATATTTTAATTTGTTTGCACCCTCAGATTCCAGATTTTCAAATAGTTGTATCTCAGCCAAATATTGTCCTATCCTAACAAACATCTTATTTATTCAGCTTTCAGATGATGTGTAAATCTCAATTTCGAAAAATCTACCCTTATGACTGGTTTTGTGGTCCAGGGTCATATATATATATGAATATATTATATTTTATTTAATCTAGCCTCTTATGAAGACTTCATATGACCCAGCACCTGTGAGTGGATGACACCTTCCCTGCAAGGACTCCAGATACAAAATGATGACATTTTCATTGCTTTAAAATGCACACAAAGTTTGCTTAAATGCATATCTGGTATTTGTAAATACTATACAGGGCTCCAGACTAACATTTGAGAGCAGTGGCACAAGCACCACTAAGTTCTACAGATGGTGGTGCCAGGAGCAGATTTGGTAGTGCTGGGGGTGGTGTGTGGGAGTACTAAAATATAGATCATTTAATCATAAAATTACTATTGTTTTGCATTAATATGTGCAGTTAATATTACATGTACATTTCTTGTTTATTTTTCTTTTGTTTATTGTTTATACAGATTTGACAGATTTAAGCTTAAGATGCATACAAATTTTACTTTTTGTACCAAAAAGTACAAAAAGTACTTTTACCAACAGTAACAGGTGCAATATCTAATTTTTGTATAGAAAATTTATATATTCCACTCTTATTAAATGTACCATTATTCTTCTA